CTTGTTTAAAAACAGATGGATTTTCTCTGGCACAACTGGATTCTGGAAGCCGAGGAGGCCGTGAGAAGAGGAATGCACTAGCTTGGTTCTGAATAACAAATACTCCGTTTTTTGACAGGTATCATAACTAAGGCTATTTACAAATCGAGTGAAGAAGACAAACAGGAAGAGGAGGTGAAGAAGACATTAGAACAGCATGACAACATTGTGACTCACTATAAGAAAGTCATTAGAGAGCAGGTAAATACAAGTTGTAGTAGACACCTACTCTCACATGTTACTGGTGGGGGAGAATCACAATATCTAGCTTTTGGGGAAGCTGGAATGGAAATCCTAATCAGATATTCCAAAACATGGAAGAAGCTTCGCAGCTCAGATAACCTGGAGGAGTGCAAGGCACTTAATAATAATCAGTGCTACTGGCACTGCCTATAATAAAACTGGACAGTTACCTGTGCGGGTAATGAGTCCACAAGATACAGGCACTGCATGTGAAAAATACCTTTTGGGGGGGTTGAAACATCCTGATTCTAATGAATTGATTGTATTGCTTTGCAACGTGTCTTCCTCTTGGTTCCACAAGTTCTGAAGCAGAATTCCAAATATTTTTTTCTCTCTCCCAGGATCAGCAGCTTGAAGAGTTAAAGCAGACGGTGAATACTTTAAAATCTCAGAACGAACAGCTTCAGACAGCAGTAACGCAGCAAGTGGCACAGATCCAGCAGCACAAGGACCAGTATAACCTCCTGAAAGTACAGCTAGGTATGCTTCACCAGGGCATGGAAATCCAGTGTTGTTTCCCAGCATGTGCCAAAGCCCCATGTAGCTCATGACAAGCAACCTAAATTCGGCAGGAACTGATCCTTTCCTGTTTCAGCCGTGTGCTGCCCTAAATTCTGCAACACGCTAGAATTCACACAGTTGAAAAACCAGCACCTCTTTTCTTGGACACAAGTAGGGCAGTATTTCTACCAGTATCTAACTTGTGACGTTAGATAAAAATGTTAAGCTCTGCATTTTTATGTGCCTCCAAACTGTGATTTTTGATGGAATACTGTGTATGGCCAAGTGATAAGTGCATTAGAAAAAGGGAAATTGGTCATTTTAGCTGCAAGGGTTTGGGACGAGCCAGAGCAGCTTGCGAGGTTAGTACTCACAGGGTCAGATTGAGGAAAGAGGGAGGAGAAACATGTCCTCTTCCCTCTGCCTTTCCATTCATTGGATTCTGACTTCCATGGCTCTCCTCACTGTAGTGTCTGAACGTGTTAGACAAAGGTTGAGGCGTTTGCATTCAGCCACGCTGTACTGCTCCTTTTTCATTCCTGGCGGATGCTGCCTGTCTCAGAAAAAGTACCTGACAGGAGAGGCTGCTGCTTAACGACCAGCTGTGGAGAGCCATCAGCTCCATTTGTTCTGAGGCTTCACAGTTCATGTCCCTTTGAAATGAATGGGGTGGATCACACGTGTCACAGCTGTTGTTCTGAGTGCCCATGGTTGAAGGAAGAAAACGCCATATTCGTTCATGTTCGTACGCCAGCCTTGGCAGTCAGACGTTAACACTTCTCTGAGAACACAAAAGGTTGAATCGTGCACCTAGATCGCCCAACAGTGCCAGGCTTCTGCTGTCACTGCTGCAAAAAATGGGACATTGGGTAAAATCTCTCTGGGGGACTGTAGGGAGACCTCAAGGCAGCTAACCTAGTTTGGAACCACTATCCGGTTCCAAGATCCGTACTCCTGGATGGATTCTGTGCGCTTAGCATGTCAAGCGTAGTGCGTCTTATACTTCACAATGAGCAAGTAAAGGCCTTCTAATGATTTTGTGTGTATAAAAAAATTAATTATAGGCCTTGTTAGCACATTCTGGTATTAAATCTTAGCCCATTTTTGTGACAGTCAGTGAGTTAGGATTAGGGAAATGAGGGGGTAGAAAAATCAGTCAGGGGCTGCACACAAGTGAGAAACCAAAAAAATCTCCCCTCTCCAGTGTGGGTTCCCCAATGCTAGGGGGAGCCCTGAGCCTCAGGGGCTGGATCCAGGCAAGCCAAAGGCTGCTTCTGATCCCTGGGCCTTAGGTTCCCCACCCCGACCTCTAGAGAGAGGGGTACAGTGAGTGGGCAAAATTTGCAGCTGATATGAAACTGCTCAAGATAGGTAAAAGAAAGGGTGTCACAGGGAAGAGGGAGAAAAATTGTTCTCCTTGGCCTCTGAGGACAGGACAAGAAGCAATGGGCTTAAATTGCAGCAAGGGAGGTTTAGGTTGGACATCAGGAAAAACTTCCTAACTGTCAGGGTGGTTAAACGCTGAAATAAGTTGCCTGGGGAGGTTGTGGAATCTCCATCTCCGGAGATATGTAAGAACAGGTTAGACAGACATCTATCAGGGATGGTCTAGATGGTGCTTGGTCCTGCCGTGAGGGCAGGGGACTGGACTCAATGACTTCTCAAGGTCAGTTCTAGTGTTCTGTGATTCTATGATTCTAAGTCCCAGGAAGACTGCAAAGAGTAACAAAGGGATCTCACAAAACTGGGTAACAGGGCACAAAATGACAGGTTAAATTCAGTGCTGATAAATGCAAAGTAATGCACATTGAAAAACATAATCCCATCTATACCTATAAAATGAGGCCTAAATTAGCTGTCACCACTCCGTAAAAGAGATCTTGGAGTCATTATGTATAGTTCTTGGAAAACATTTATTCGATGTGAAGTGGCAGTCAAAAAAGCAAACAATGTTGGAGATTGTTAGGAAGAAGATAGCTAAGACAGAAAATATCATATTGCCTCTATGAAAATCCATGGTATGTCCCCATCTTGAATGCTGCATGGAGATCTGGTCATCCCGTCTCAGAAACGATGTGTGAGTTGGAAAAGATACAGAAAAGAGCAACAGACATGATTGGGGTGTGAACAGCTTCCATCTGAGGAGAGATGAATCACTCTGGGACTCTTCAGTTTGGAAAAGAGATGACTAAGTATGGGTATGATCGAGAGATACAAAATCATGACTGGTGTGGAAAAAGTAAATAAGGAAGTGTTAATTGCTCCTTTTCAGAACGCAAGAAGTAGGGGTCATCAAATTAAATTAATAGACCACAGGTTTAAAGCAATCAAAAGAAGCATTTCTTCGCACAATGCACCGTCAACCTGTGGAACTCCTTGCCAGAGGACGACGTGAAGGCCAAGACTATAACAGGGTTTTAAAAAGACCAACACAGGTTCCTGGAGGATAGGACCATCAGTTTGTTTTTAGCCAGGATGGGCAGAGACGGTGTCCTTTGCCAGAAGCTGGGAGTGGGCAATGCTTGATGATTCCCTGTTTTATTCATTGCCTCTGGGGCAGCTGGCATTGGCCACTGTCAGAAGACAGGATACTGGGCTAGATGGGCCGTTGGTCTGACCCACTATGGCCATCTCATGTTTATGAGGGGGGAGCATAATATTGCAGAATATACCTTGTGTGAACGAGTGTAGTAAATGTGTGAAGAAAATCTGTGCCCTTCTTAGGTTTAATACCAAGTTTCAAATATCTGGCCCCTAGGGAAGGACAATCAGCATCACAGCTCCCACGGTGACTTGCCCCAGATGAATGGCATCCAACCAGAAGAACTCAGCAAATTGCGACAGGAGATAGACGAATTGAAACGTCAGCACGAAGTGTTGCAAGGGCAGCTGAGAGAGAAGGATTCAGTGATTGAAAACTTGGTAAGTCATGGCTGCGTTGGGAGGACTTTCCGTACGCAGCTCAGCGCGTGTTGCTGGAAGGGCTTCCCAACGGCCCTGCCAGCGCGCGAGAGACAGTTCTCGTGAGCCAGGCAGACGCTGATGACCGCACACGTGGCCCCCGAGTTGTTTGCACAGTGGCCACCCCCCAGTCGATCGCGATCAGCAGGCCCCCTGTTTGCCCCAGCCCCACGCTGCTGGCTCGTTCTCAGAGGCGGCCACTGTGGCCCTAAGTGTGTGCAGAGCGGGAGTCTCGGGGCGTTGCACCTGCCTGCGAGTAATGGCCCCCCCCGCTCCCATAGGTCGGGGGCAAGGTGCTGTGGCCAAGGGAAACAGAGAGAGCAGTGCCGGCAGAGTAGCTCATGGAGGCACGTCCCCCCCCCCCCGGGCACATTGCCTCAAGCTGAGAGTATCCACGGTAGTCCTGATCCGCCTTCCTGCTTGCCCAAGCCCTTGGGCAGGGAGCGTGCAGAGGCCAGACAAAGTAATGAATGTGACTTGCGTGTACCCAAGTGGGAGATGCCCATTGCGCTCCCAACGCACTCACTCTCTCCCCCCCTCCCCCAGAGTGCTAGTAATCCCGCGCGGCTGTGGGGAGGGGGCAGGGAAGGAAACGAGGTGGTTGGTATGCCTTCACTATGATGGGTCCTGCTTTCTAGAGCTTTCCGTGAATGCAGGCTGTGCTGTCACTGCATCCACCGTGGGTGTGAAAGTGTGAAGTCTGTGTCAAAGAACTCCCGTAGGTAGGGGTGAAGAACTGCGTTAGCCCTGTGATAGCCCCTAGTAAATCGTGTTACACGGTCGCTTTTCCTCTTGTCGCAGACGTCTTTGCAGCCAGAAACAGGAAGAACAGAGCAGTTGTCACAGATCACTGCATCTGCTGGATTGGAGCATGCTAATGAACTACAGAGGGTGAGTTCTTGAGGCTTTGTCCGATACCGAGTCCAGACTTCCTTTGTTCGTAACATGGGAGTGAGCGTGTGCAGTCCTCAATTGGGCAAAGCTGCCAGAGGATTGGAACCAGGTTATAGGCCAGATTCCCATTGGCTGGTAAGATTGGTTCCCAAGTGCGTGACTATTTAGACTTTATGTGCTAATCTTAGTAATCCTGGGGCATCCGAACTGTGAGTCCTGAAAAGAATCAGAGTAACTAGTGTGTTGAGATGAATGACGCCTTTGGAGGAAGTTACACTGAAATTCTGAAGATGCCTGATTGCCTATTTGCAGTTGCGTAACAGAAAATATCACACAAATCAGTGGTGGGCAACCTGCGGCCCATTGGGTCCCGTGTGTGGCCCGTGAGACATTTTGTTTACCTTTGCCCACACGCAGCATGGCCAGTTTCTGCTGGTTTCCATCCAAATTGGTTTTTTCCTGCAAGCAAGGGCAGGGGCCGTGAGGTACATGGTGATTGCACATCACTTGTACTGTAAAAGCCGTGCACTCGCACAGTATCCAGTCCAAGCGCTGCTACAGTGCAATCAGCACACCCCACAAATTCTAAGTACACAGTCACAGTTAGCAAAACTACCCTATCCTGGGCGATTGTCTTGGGTATGACAATCTTGCGGTCCACTCACTAGCCTAGGTTGCTCAACGCTGACATAACTCCTGATTTGCATTATAAATATGTAGGGTTTTGAGCCCTTTCCACCTGGGAAAAGAGCACGGACCGAGTGAAGAAGTCCACCAGGTCTGAAAGTATCCCGCTACGAATTTTATCCCTATTAAAAAAAAAAATTTATAGGTGCAGGACTTGGACTGAAAGATCCTTTATCTAAGATGACTTGCATAGGAAGGTTTCTGCAACGTGCTTATAGAAAAGCAGCATCTGGGAGAGTTATGAAGAGATGCTCTGATAAGCTTAAAAAAAAAGTGCCAAGTCTCAAATAGGTGACTCAGAAGTTTCACATGCCACACAAAACATTTGGCTACTTAGCAATAACATGAGGTTGTTAATGGAGCTGGGACCATGCTCCTGAGGACTGTGTCAGTGTGCCCAGACAAGTGGCTGCTGTGGAATTAGTGGACAACTAAGTCTCTCATTAGGGGTGCTGGAACAGTTGGTATAGTGGGGCCCTGAGAGCCATTGAACAAAACTTCAAGTCTATGCCTCTCCCTCCTCCCTCAAGTAACTTGAAATCATGTGGTAAATAATGTGTAGCTTTTGCTTCCCCAGAGCAACTGAACTTTTGTCCTTATTTAAGTCACTATTCAGAGAAGTTAAATTCCGTTGGGTTTTTTGACACAGGAGCTAGAAGCCTTGAGGATCCAAATACAGTCACAAGCTACAGACATCTCTAAACTTCAGGCTGAGAAGCAGGAGCTGCTCCAACAAATGGTAACGCCGTAGAACTCTTGCACCCTTTCCTGATCCTTCCCGTAGTGATTAAACTGTAGAAAAATGTTTCTCGCTCTTTTCACTTTGTTGTCATTCCTAATGAGCCAGGGCCTGTCGAGGACAAGCCCCACGGCTGGTGAAAAGCACAGGGACGCACCTAAACGATTTGAAAGCTTTAATATGGGATTTTAGGGCAATCTAGTGCCATCTTAATCAAGCCGAAAGCATGAGTACAGCAGAACAGTGTAATGTTGAGCTGGCCAGTCACAGGTAGGCCTGTTTCTGGAATCAAATCCATCCTGGTTTGATCAGGTGTAAATCCTGAATTGCTCAACCCTCCTTCATTAAACACCACATCCTTTATCTCTTGCCTCTTAACCCCGTATAAGCGCAGATTCTTACACACCCATAAACATTCTGTTCTAAATTTATTTTAACACATACTAGCCCCAAGCCCTTTTAAACGGATACATTTTTACTTACCTTGCTCACATTTAATTGGTACCTCCCTATCTATCTGTTTTTAGTCATCACGATCCAGCTTCTTATTCGGTCCAGCTGTTTCTTCCTTCCTTTCCTATATTCCCTCATTTCCGGTCTCATCCTGACGCATCTGCTTCTTGTGCCCTTGGGGTTACTGGCTGGCAAGTTCTGTTCAGTCATTGTCCATCCTCCCTAGTCTGTTTTCCTCGGGAGGTTTGAGGATGGCTGGTAAATCACACATAGTCGGGTTTGCTTTGCCCTGTTATCCAAGAATCCACTGTAGATAACAAAGCAACTTTCTGATTTTTACAACCTTTGAGACAGGCAGAAAGCAAAAATGTTCCCTTTTATTTTTTCTTAAGACTGTTGATTGTACACATACACATACACACACATACATACACACATCTTCCCTAGGCAATTTATTCCAGTGGTTAAGCACTGAAATAAATTTCCTAGGGAGGTTGTGGAATCTCCATCATTGGAGATTTAAGAGCTGGTTAGATAAACACTTGCCAGAGCTGGTCTAGATGGTGCGTGGTCCTGCCGTGAGGGCCGAGGACGGGACACGACGACCTTTCAAGGTCCCTTCCAGTTCTATGAGTCTGTGATTCTCTTAACATTTTTTATATACATGTATCTGACACAGTGATACCTTCTTTACACTATCTTGCGGTATCTCCACTAACTCCACTTCATTTCAGTTAAATGCTGAGTCCTTATTTTCCTCTCATTTAGCCTATCAGTGTATTGACTGTAATAACATCACTCAATTGATACCTAATAAGAAGTGAAGGAATTTACTTTCTCCAAACCAGTCCATGTGTTATACCATTTAGAGATGTAAAATTATGTTAACTTTTAACCAGTTAACTAATTAAAGTTTAACCAGTTAACCAATTAAACTGGGGTGGGCTTCTGGGAGCCGGCTGGGAGGCAGCAACCCTGTGCAGAGATCCAGGAGGGCTGCTCCCTGGGTACCGGTTAACCATGACCCGGTAAGCAACACCTATTGAAGGTGGCGCTTGCCAGGTGACCAGTTAACCCGTTACCAGTAACATTCCTAATATCTTTGCAAACCTGTATCGCTTAAGGCACCGGGAGGAAGTAGCTTAATATTTTAAACTCATCTTGTACATAACAAGGTCCAAAAAAGTGTCGTCATTGTGTTTAGTCCTGAATCTGTTGCTTGCACCGTACGTACAATCAAGTGTGTTTTAATGGATGCCGTCTTCCTATGCAATTGAATGAGCAATAATTATTTAAGGTATGGGGAAAAAATGGACCCATAGTAGTTACGAATGAGATTTTAAAAGGCTAGCAGGCACAGCAGTGTAGTTGAAGTGAAACCGTAATTGCTCCTGATGTTGATTATCTATTCCACAGAATACAGCGTCAGTCCCTGGACTGGGTGAGAGCGATGCAGCCAAGAACAGTCAATTGGAGGGCCGATTGTTGCAAGAGATAAAAGAACTGAAGGTTGGTCACTGGTGAAACACAAAACCTGAAATGGCTCCACACTCATTTTTCAGTTATGGTCACTATTGGGTGACCTGCCAGAACAGGGAAAGCTTTTGGGGTACTTCATGATTTTGAGGATTATTTTTTTTTAAACTATATAAACAGATCTTTAGGCTTTTTCCTGTTTGTTTTCACATTAGAAATTCCGCTCTCGTCTGCCCTGACAGATTTGGTGTGGAGAGCTTGAGAGGTGACCTCAAGAATCAAAAAGAAAAGTTACACAACTGAGGCTAGGAAAGGGATTTTTAGTTGATGTTAAATGCATGTTAAGAAAATGGAGTTTTCACGTCCGTGACGGGCAGAGAGAGGGTCTGTATTGGGGATAGGATACTCTTGGGCCTCTAATGTTTGAGCACCAAACATGTCTCCTCGAAATATGTGTTCGGAGACGGTCAGAAAAACTGGGCCAGAGGGCGCTTGTCGCTCCTGAGCTTTCTAAAACAAAATGGTGCCCGTGTACAGGTCTTGTCACGCCTTCCTTCAACACAGAGCGCAAAGAAGCCAAACTCAGCTTGAAAGTGGCTTCTAGCTCACCTCTAAGCTGCGTTAAATGGCAGGGGTTGCAGTTGAAATAGCAGCGTCCTGCCTGGATTGTCTTGGCAATTGAAGCCAGGACTTGTGCTTGACTGTTAAAGGCTAGATGCACCTTTGAGCATCTCTCTAGTCTCCAGACTTCCCCACCCCAGCTATGAGGCCTTGTGTCCATACTCCTTGGGGTGGGATCCTGAGTTCTTCCACCCAGACTGGGGCGTGGGTCAGAGCGTGTTGTGCACCGGGATTAACACTGCGGGGTCGGTCAGCTGTAGTTCTTCCCTTCAGGAGTTGTGAACAGCATGAGGGTCATGACCCAATGCAGCCTTCCTAAAACAAAGTAGTGTTTAATCTTCACTCTCTGGATCTGAAAGCACAGGCCTTGCTGCATTAGCTGAAGGAGCAGCCGAGAGCTTGAAGGAAGGAGCAGAGTCCTAAATCTCTACACACGACCTATCCGCTCCTGAAGGACAGACACTGCAAGGGTGGGGGTTGGAGAACTGAGGCGCCAGGCTTTGAGTGGGTAGCAGAGGCAGGAACGTTGAGCTGACATGAATGGTCCGTTGAGTGACTTGAATGAACTGACTGCTTGGGATGCAAGTGACTCTCCTGTTTTTGTGACGTACCAGAATGAAGTGAAAGCTCTGGCTGAGGAGAGAGCCTCGCTCAAACAGAACCTGGACTCAGTCCAAAGCACAGTCGCTGTCTTGCAAGATGAGAAAAGCAAACTTCTTCTTGAAGTCGCCGAATCCAAAAAAGAACAGGACGACCTCCTGGTGCTTCTCGCCGATCAGGATCAGAAAATATTTGCACTGAAGAACAAGCTCAAGGAACTTGGTGAACCGGTAAGATAAGTGTCCCATGAAGTAGGCTCCGAGGTGTTACTGAGTGCCCAATAGCTACTCCCTTTGCCTTCTGTCGCTCCAAATATCTCCATTTGATAAGCTAGTGGGACTGGAAGCAGCCAGAAGAGTTGGCAGAACTTCCCCCCGTAGCTCCTGTTTGCCATAAGTAATGCAGGTGCACAGCTTGGGGGTGCTGTTAGATCATGGGCCAAACTAGGTATCGGCTGAGGCCAAAAGTACCTTTTTTTCCCCACATGCACCTGGTACAAGGAGTGTGTGATGTCTCTCCCTGCAGGGACCTAGCCGCAACCATGCCCATGCCTGCTTATTTCACCTTCAGGTTTGCTGGCTGCCTTGCATTCTCCATGGAACTACCACCATTAAGCCCTCCTCAGAAAGCTGCAGCCTGCTTATTAAATGGAGCTGCACATTGGGAGCCAATTGCCCTGTGGTTGGCACTGGCTTGCTGGGATCTTACTGTGGAATTTAATGAGTTGGTTTTAACCTACATAGCCCAACAGCTGCAGACCTGGTTGCTTGCGTCTTTCTCTCCATGACGTATTGCCACAGTGGAGACCAACAGGGACTGTTCCACCCACCTGGACACACAGCACGGCCCATTTCTCTTCTCCTCACAAGCGTGTTCTTTAAGAACCTTCGTCAGGGAGGCTTATGGACTGGAATAACAGCTGGTTGCATTCAGCATGTTGCCATCATGTGCGGCCCAGAAAATAGGTCCAGACAGCTCTTGTGTGCAGAAACCTGTCCTGGGTTTGGAAGCAGGGAAAGGAAAAAGGGAATTTGTGTACAGCCATCTCCTTTATTTGTTAGCAGTAGAGCAAGACTCAGGCTAACCCTGAGGCCTTGCAATGCGAGAGTGAGAATTGCAAGGGACACTGGAATGTTGACTCCAACAGGAAGCTTGAGATAAGGTGGGCAGGTAGATAATTTCTAGCCATTGTTGTATGTAACGGGAAGGTATATATATTGCCTTTTTCACTGCTTGTATTTGAAGATCTGCTGAGGAAGGGGGACTCTCCCCCCCCCCCAACTGCAGTCTTCCCTTGCAATTGCTCGAAAATAAACTGCCTCTGACTTGTTGCTTACAAACGCAGTGCGAGGACTTGGTTTTCTTCCACATGGATTAACAGTTGCCTTTCAAAGCAAGTATGACTATTCTGTCCTGGTCTCTGAGCAGGTAGGCCCCGGTGAGACCTGCCGCAGTGCCCAATAATAATCCAACATGTGCACGTACTAGACTGATCATCACATCTGACAAAACCCCTACCACAGTTTACAACTGGGCATGTGCATCAGATCACATGTGTCTTTGGGGCTAATGCGGTTGGCCAGGGAACTTTTGGTTAGATTTCCTGTTTGAATACAAGTACTTCATGTCTTTGTCTAGGTCCTGTGCCTCTCAGTGTTAAGGGCTAGCCTTTTGGTAGCATGTGCTACCTCTCTTGGCCTCGCTTCACTTGTTTGTCATGTCCTAAGTCAAGACAGTTTTGAAAGAAACGTGAGGAAACGTTTCTGTTTCATACGCCTACAAACTTTGGGCTGAGTTTATGCAAGAGTTCAACATTCTGTGGAAAGTTTGTGGGTCATCAAGTTGCTGAAGACATCTTAACACTTAATGGCTTCATTTAGAGGGCTCAAAGTATTGCACAGACATTAATTCTTCACCACCAGTGTGATGGGTAGCCTCATTTTACTGGTGGAGAAACTGAGGCATGGAGGACAGCTTACTCAGTGACCACGCTGGGAAGTTCTGTGTTCATATCCCCTGCTTTCCTGCCACACCACAGTCTTCCTGACTAAATCAAACACTCAGACCTCAGGTGTTGACTCCTTAGTTTTGATATCAGGAGCAGTGCAGTGATCCACGATGGATGGGGCTTAGAAGTTGAAATATTAATATAAGTGCAATTGCTGTGGTACTTTTAGGTTTGTTTTTTTCATTCCTTGGTAGTTTGTTTGATCTCTGGCTCATGCATCTCTCAAAAGACATTCCTGGTTTTCTTTTCAGGTGGAAGATGAGGATGATATTGAATCTGGAGACCAAGGTGATGAAGATGAAGAAGAGGATGGGGAAGAGGAAGACTAATAGTGCTTTAGTGTCCCCACAAGAAATTTAGAAGTTACATTGTAATACAAAATTAAACTAATTCTGTTGACCTACAAAGTTAAAGCATCCGCTTATGGAAGCAAATGGGGAAATAATGTTCTGATTTTCTGAAGCAAAGTGTTTGGAAACCTTCGTCATAAGTGAAACAGAAATCACTGCTAAGTTAAACAAAAGCATCCCAACTTCTAATAGTTTAGAAGCTGCTTTAGATGCCGTTTAAAGCATGGGGTGACAATGCTATGGCCTTAGTTCATTGTCGTTTACGGAAGTTCTGTGCGTTTGTCTCTCATTTTAACATTTGGGGGAACTCTGAGCTGATTAAATGCATCCGTATTTGGTTGGACAGCTATGGAATGGAATCCTTGCTTCTGCAGCCAGCATGGAGCCAGTCAGAACTCAGGCGTTCCTTTTCACTACATGGCTAGGTTGAAGGGGCGGGCCGGGTGAATCGGGGATTATCCACCCCCATCAGCTTCCAGTTCAACTTTACTAAAACCAATTGAACCGAACAGTGTCACGTGCCTTGACCCCTGAAATGGCTGCCCTGCAGTCTGTACCTCAGTGACGATACCCAAGGAAATGGCAACATTATGCTGATAACGAGGAGAGAGCTGCATAGAGACTCGCAACAGGAGAGTAGCATTTCTAAGCTGAACATCGCAATATTTAAAAAAAAAACAAAGCAAAACACAACTCATCCTAAAGATTAAATGTGCTACCAGGTCATCATCAATGATTCTGTTGTGTTCTTGAGTAGAGAAGTGAAAATACAACCTGATTTATGTAATTTATTGGCTCTTACGCTGAGGAGATAAGAGAATAGATTTTAAAAGAACAAAATTAATAAACAATTCATAAATTTCATGTTTTGGTAATAAAAATAGATATTATGTCCATTTAGTATTCAGTCATTTAATTCTCTTGTTTTTAATGGTTATTGCACTAGTTGTTTACACTAGAATCAGAGTGGCTTAAAAATGCCAGTCTGGCTGGAAAACATCCTTTTAACCTCTCTCGTTTCCTAGCTCATCAAGCTACCAGGATGGTGCAGGGTCAGTTTTTGAGCTTTTTAGCAGTTTGTGGAATGAAATTTCTCTTGGACTCTCCCAAGATGCCGCCGTAAGCCATGGCAGTATATCCTAACCTGAATAAGGAGGATTTAGACCAGTGAAAGAAAACAGTTGGCTGTTTTCAAAATGCTCTTGTGTGTATTTAATAACTCCTGGGTGAAACCATCCTAAAATTAGAAAAAGCGTTTGCTCTTGCAGTTTCTTCGTACTCACGCTCACTGAAGTCTGTGGGAAGGAGGCGTAAGGATCGAACACCCCGGCAGAGCAGTTTGGCCTGTTCATGCACTTTTCCCCTGTCTCATGCTCCCCCTTGGTACTAAATAGCACCATGATAACCTGCCCTCAGTTCCTTCTCAGCCACCCAAAAAGCAGGCTACGAGAAACAATGGTCCCTGGCCAGGTTGGGGAGCTCTGTTCCCACCGACCTTAACTAGGCACCCCCAAGACTGTGGTCTCCTCAGATCCTGGTACCACCGATAAACCTAAAGACCCTAAGTGCACAGGTTCAGGAAGGTTGGTACTTATGGGGGAAAGGCAGCTGCAAATTGTGATCTTGCTCCTCTAAAGCAGCACCAATGGTGCCAGCTAGTGACTCGGTACCGAGTCCTTTGGCCCCACAGAAGCCCGGAACCATGACTCGTAAGCAGTGACTACTACGGCCTTGACTGACAATGCAGTGCCCTGGAAGGAAGGGTGGGAGGTTCCCCATGCTGCCCTGGTATTAGGTCCCCAGCATGCCGGGGAAAGGTCCCAGCAGATTTCCCACCCATCCTGCCTTTAGCTCAGCATGCCACACGAGGGCTGTTCCCTTTCACGCTGGTTCACCCCACCCAAGCTCTCTTTCCCAGGTTGGGCATTTGCACTGTGTGAGCAGAGCAGTTGCTCTGTGCCAGCTCAGTGGTGTTTGGCTCGCTGAGTAAGGGGTGAATTTTCAAAGGCAATTCTGACCATTATTTTCGGAGGCCTCATGCACAGGGGGAGGCATTACCAGCATAGCTGTACCCTAGTAACTGCTGGTGTGGACACGCCTGTCCCAGAATATGTCTGGCCCGGTTTAGCTCCTGCTGCTTTCAGAACAACACAGCCTTGGCCAGAGAAGTTGGTTTGATTCCAGAATCAGAGTGCCCACGGGGGGAGTTGGCGAGACTAGAGGTGTATGCCCGTAGAGCTATGGCCCTACGTTTCCCGGTGCAGGCAGCCTCGGCGCTGCAATCAGTTACAAATGAGCCTTAGGCTTTGGAAAGTCCAAGGTTTTACTTAATGAGCTACAAGTGGCAGCAAGGTGCCAACACACAGCCAAACCCATGAGTACACCACCACCCCTTCCCCCACAATTAGGGCCCCACCGAATTCCTGGCCGTGCACACATGTCACGGACCGCGAAATGCGGTGTCCTCCCATGAAATTTGTCCCTTTTGGACGTGTTTACCCTGTGCTGTACAGATTGCATGGGAGAGACCAGGGTCTCTAACTGGGGGCTCTGACCCAAAAGGGAGTTGCCACCCTGATTTCTGCCTGGAGAGCGGGGGTGGGATGTTGGCCAGGCGCCTAGCTCTTCCAGCAGCAGTAAAGGTGGCAACGCCCTACCCATGTCACTCATTTCTGTGCTGCTGCCTTCAGAGCTGGGCAGCTGGAGAGTGGCAGCTGCTAACCAAGGGCTCTGCCCTGCAGGCAGCAGTGCAGCAGTAAGGGTGTGGCAATGCCATGCCGTGCCATCTGTACTTCGGTGCTGCTGCTGGCAGTAGCTCTGCCTTCAGAGCTCAGTTCCTGGCCAGCAGCCGCCACTCCCCCTCTGCCCAGCTCCGAAGGTGGTGATGCTGCCAGCAGCTGTGCAGAAGTAAAGGTAGTTTGTGAGCAGGGAGGGTGACCCACCAAATTAATCTCAGACTGGGCTCACCGAACATCCATTCCCTGGGCAGAACTTTTGATCACTACGTATAAT